AGAAGGCACCATTCAGAGATGAGCTTAATGTTACACTAGGGAGGCTAAAAATCATGAGTGTTGATAAAACTATTAGCTATGACCTTTCAGGCTTGTAATGCTCTGAAGGATTGCCTTGATGTTACCTTCCTTCTGCTACCTCTGAGTAGATACAGTAAACAGATCAGAATCCTAAGAGAGTATTTTTGGTGTTTTGTTGTTTGATTCTCCTTACATAAAATTAATAGTTGATAGAGGTAAGATAAACTCATGTTGAAGACTTCAGAAAGAGCCTGTGTATCCTGAATTTTGTAGTTAAAGCCAGAGGATATTACTGGACATTTTGGGTCGTTGTCAAGAGACCGAAAGATGTGTGGACATTGTAATCAAGTTAGACTACAGACACAAGTGTACATTTACAGTTGTATTTGTGTTTTTGTGATGCTCTGAGCTTACCTGTATAGCAGGCTGTGCTTAATTGGTATTGAATTCTGTTCATCATAAACAGTGCTTTGTTGTTTAGTGCTTTTCCTCCGACCTTTTGATTTTTGATAGTCCTCTGAAAGGACTATAGCATTCTTCTGTATGAAATCTTGCAACTCAGTGGGAGGATTGTTGTTGAACAAAACAAAATGTTAATCAAATACAAACTATTGATTCGACTTTTTTATTGCTGACATTTTAAAACAGAGAAGAGAGATGAGGTGGTATATTATGACACTTACGAAAGTATGGAAGCCATGCTTGAAAAAGAGGATACGGCAACATCTATATACTTGCAAAAAGAAGAGCTGCAAAAGTTACAACAAAAAATCCGCCAGCTGGAAGCAAGACGTGGACGTATTTCAGCCAAGAAAGCCTACCTCAGAAACAAGAAGGTATTATTAAATTGCAAATTTCTAGCATAATTATCAAATTTAATAAAACTTCAAAAGGTTTCATTTCAGGTAAAAATTACAGTCTACTGGAATTTTCATGGATTATATTTACCACTTAGTAGACATCGTTTTACAGAGTATTAAGCATAGTAGCATGTGTTATTACACTGATATTTAAGATTCAGTTTACCTTTTAGTTTTAAAGGAACCTTTAATTACTTCAAAGGCAACAAATAAACTTGTTTCTATTGACTAATGAGTACTTTCATGTGGAAAGTACATGCTAGGATGCATGTTTCTACAGAGAGTAGTTTTATGTATATTTGCAGAAGAGAATTTTCAAGGATGTTTTCTCACTAATGAGTTCTATTTTCATTTTCTCACCTCATCCTTTTAAACTTGCATCGTGCGTCATTGATACTCTGTGTTCAGCAGATATATATGAAATATGGTGTCTATTCTTAATTTGTAAAACAAGGTGTGCTGCTTGGGACCACATTTTCATGCGTTACATGACTGGGATGTTGTGCAGAAAATCGTTTTAATATAGCTAATGTTTTGAAATTGTGTATCATATAGATGTAAATATGTTCGTTTTCTTTTTTCCAGAATTACTTATCTATTGTTCCCTAGCAGTTTGTGGTTACAGCAATGTCATAGAATCATAGGTTAGGGTTGGATCATGTAGTTCCAACCCCTTTGCCATGGTCAGGGACACCTCACACTAGACCATGTCACCCAAGGCTCTGTCTAGCCTGGCCTTGAACACTGCCAGGGATGGAGCATTCACCACTTCTTTGGTCAACATGTTCCAGTGCCTCACCACCCTCACAGGAAAGAACTTCTACTTATACCTGACCGAAATCTCCTCTGTTTAAGTTTAAATCCATTACCCTTTGTCCTGTCACTACAGTCCCTAATGAAGAGTCCCTCTCCAACATCCTTGTAGGCCCCCTTCATATACTAGAAGACTGCTGTAAGGTCTCCACGCAGCCTTCTGTTCTCCAGGCCAAACAGTTCACATTTTCTGAGCCTGTCTTCATATGGGAGGTGCTCCAGCCCCCTCATCATCCTTGTGGCCTCCTATGGACTTGCATTATTAATAAGCAAGAGAGCTTCTTGAGTAGAATAGATCAAAGGTTTGAGGGAGCATTGTAAAACTTGTTATGAAATAGGTATACTATAGGTTATACTATAACCTATATGGTTATGCAGAAGTCTCAGTTGAGACTTTATTGTAGATTGGGGTCAGGGATTGGTGTAGTTCTGTGTTCTCAGTCATGTGTCTTGATGTAGGAGATGACCCCTTTACACAAACATTTCTAGTAGGTTGAGGGTAAAGCCTTTAGGTTTTACCTCCCCTTCATAATTAATATAACCTATTTCTGTACTTGAATGTGAAGCATAACAGCAAACAAAACACTAGTTGATACATCTTATTTTGGATTCTTTTATATTTCTCCAATCACTGTCCTGTCTCTAATGGACACATTATAGAGAAGACTGCAAATAAATCATCATAAAATAAATGTCTCTTGTTAGTCAGTTATGGGAAGTAGCTTGCTCAGTCACTGAGTTTCTTTTATGTGAGTTTGTAAAAAGAAAAATTACCAAGAAGTTGGGCTTTTTGGTATTTTAAGGAATAGATCCTATCATGCTATGCTAATTAACGTAGACTACATTATAATAGTTACGTTCTTTATTCCTGAAGATGAAAAGCCACTGCTGACATCTTTCAGAGTAGACGACCCTGTTTCAGAGCAACAGCCTGGTTGCTGTTCCTTGCTTAATTTTGAGAGGTATCTAGTTAAGAAGCAATCTGAAGCAGGAATAGAGATTTTTTAGCATGCCTTCTTATCTGTATAGTGAACTAGTCACCTTTGATTGGCTTATTTGTTTCAAAGTTATGCTGTGATAAAATACCTTGTTTAAACTGAAGTAATTAGTTCTACACTGTAACATTAGTTGCAGCTTGTGCACTGAGACATGATACAAAGTCATATATGGCAGTATTGATCATCTGGGTCTGTATGTGGGAGTAACATAGTCATATCTGCTCAACATTGTGCTGGAAGAACATGGGTATACTGTTTTCAGGACCTGAGGTAATGTCTTCGCATGGAACTTCACTGCTGGACATCACAGTGTGGGCATCACAGCACTCTCACAACTAGTTCCAGCTCTGCTGATTTTACTGTTCAACATAGCATTATCTGCAACTGAGCGCTGCAGTGAGACACTTAGCTTTCAACTTCTAAAGAAATCACAGATTAGAATAATGCATATTTTAATTTGCAGGGGGAAATCAAAGATTTTTATTTGAGCAAAAAGAATAGCCAGAATTTATTGTTACACCATTTGGTGGTACTTGTTGGGCGGAAAAAAACACAGTCATTTTGATGGATATTTGTTAGAGATGTTTTCTGTAGCTGCACTTACTATTGCCAAGAAATGCAGAGCTCTGCTAAGTTTACTAGTAATTACTTGAAAATCAACTCTTGTGGCTTTGATTCAAACATAAACAAGCTTTTATCTTGAGTGAGCATTCTAGTCATGTTGCAAAACATTGTTAATAAACACTATTTATAGTGCCTGGGATGCAGATAGTTGTGCTTTACAAAACTGGGAGGAAAAAAGGGTTCTTGCTCTGAAATGCTTGTAGTTTAAGATAAGAACAAAGATACAGATGGGATGCAAAAGCAGACTCTAGATAGTGACAATGAGCACGGTGATGACTGAATGCTAAGAGGAAAAAAGAATGAGGGTGCATTTGGAAAGTATATATCGTGGTAAAATTCTCTATGTCTGTCTCAGTTAAGAAACATTCATTGTTGAACTGTGATGAGTCTACTTAATACTTTTCAAATTCTGTTCCTGATCATGCTTTTTTTCCCCAAAGTATCTTAAAACAGATCTGTAAACAAGTGTTCTGTTTTGGACTGGGTTGGTGAGGTTTTTCTGTTTTTTCTCTTCCCTCTCTCCCCCCCCCACCTTTTTTTTGTTGTTCTGTTTGTTGGTTTGGTTTTGGTCGTTGGTTTTTTGTGTTTTGTTTTTTTTTTTTTTTAACCTTGTCAGTTTTGCATTGTAAAAACAAAGCAAGCCGTGCACCAAGTAGTGTATATCACAGACTTGTGATATACTTAGAAATTACAGTTCTTGCTTGTTACTAGGGTTTTGGCAAGTGCAGATTGCCCTAGGAGAATGCCTTCTTTGTAGCACAGATACCATCATTAAGAAAACAATAGGAAATAATTCTCTATCATCAGTTTGTATTTTTTGGTTGTTTTATCATCTGAGTATTCAAAAACATTTTCAGTTAAGATAATGCAGTGAAACAAAATCAATTACTCTGTGTCGAGTAAGAGTGTGTGTAATACAAATGTAAACTTCTGTGACTCCAGTCTTTATTAATTTTGTTTTTCAGAAATTCCTTCCCTGGTTTTGCAATTGATGCTTTAATTTTGTAATGATGATGTCAAATAATTGTATCAAACCTTTATTTAGAAATATTTGCTAAAGGCTTGTTAAAAAGCTCATTCAGTTGTGATTCTGAATAATTGAGCCAGCATTTTTTAAATATATGCTTTTAGAGAGGTTGATGTTCCTTCGCCATACTACGATGAGTATAAACTCTTGATTCTCATAATCTTTTATACAAACCTATTTGCATTTTTTAAGCAATTGTTTCCTGATGTTCTTTTGTGTTGATGACAGCGAGTTAGTTATTACAAAATGGGGTTGTAATAGTGATCTCACTACTTATTTCTTGAAAGCTAGTTACAGATTTTTTCATGCAGGATATTGCTATTGTTATCCCAGTCTACCCCCTGCTGGCTGTACAGTAGTATTAATTAGGTTACTATGTGGAACAAGCAGCTGGGGTTTTTTAGGGAGTTACATTTGTAGAAAAGAGTTAGGGTAAAAATTATCGTATAAAAGGTGTCTAGAGAAATATATTTGAAAAAAATAGTTGCGGAGAAGTTGAATTATTTCACATCCAGGAAAGGTATTCCTTATTGTGAGCAGACTGGGAGAAACAACTGGTCAGTGAAGCTGGGGTATGTTCATAATATGTGCTTTGATCTAGGAAATTTCTGAATGTGCAGGTGTGTCCATTTAATAGGACCCCTTCACTACTTTTCAAACCCATAGTTTAAAGCATAGCTCATGCCAAAACAGATAGACGCAGTGACAGCTGGTATAGGGTTATTTGGTATGCTTTCATATTATTCTTACTATGACTACTTTAACAGCAACTTAATGGGATAACTACACAGAAGGCCTATAGTATAGTAAAATTCTGCACATACTGAGCTTACTAAATGCTTAACTTGGGTCATTTTCAATCTGAAAGCAGGGCTTGCTGGAACTAGTTAAATATAATACTAATGCAGATCTCTTCTATGTACCTTACATGTTACTAGTCTTAAACATTAAGCTTATCCAGTGATGAGGGTTTAAATGGTTCCTCCGCTCTCCCTTTTGTGTTTTCAATAGATGTAAAATTTGCAAATATGAAATTGGTTAAAAGATTAAAAGAGAAATTAACATTATTATTCTTGATGCTGTCTCAATTACATATATACTCCATGTTTCTTGGAGTGTGGCTCTCACTGGACATAATGCTCCTGCTTTCCCAATGCTGAGAATGAAGGAAAAGCACTTCATCTATGCAACAGGCTGTATTCCTGCTTACTTAGTCGATTATGATGCTTTATATATATATAATTTTTTTTTTTTGCCTGAGTTAGTTGGTTTATGTTCAACTTGTGATCTGCCATAAACATTCAGATAATTTTCTTTAATGCTGCCACCTGGCTGGGTTTTTCCTTCATCCTTGTTTGCAGACACTTAAATCTTGTCTACAAGTATAACCTTGTATTTGTCTCTATGAAATTACCACCTTTTTTTTTTTTTTTGACCATTTCTGTAATTAGTTAAGATGATTCAGATTTCTAATCCTGTGCTGTAATGTTTTTAATCCCTCCTAGTCTTTTGTATTATTTCAAGTGCTAGAGATCGAATTATGTTAAAGCAGGTTGCTTATTAGTACAAAGTCAGCATCAGATATGTTTGTTTTGGTTTTTCCTCTCTATTTGTGCTTAAAATAGCTTTCATTATTGCTCTTCATCAGAAAGATTTAAATACTGGTTCTAAAGAGAAAATATTTCATAAAAGTCTGCCTCCCAAGTATTTGTGAGTCAAAAAACCCCAAACCAAACCTAATACGCATTTTCTCATTATTTTATAATACTTTTTTTGTATCTCGTAACATAATGTTCCTCATTGTTTTAGAAGACAGTTGAACTTAGCACATAAATAGGGAATAAATTATAAAGATAAATCAGTGTTACTATTATGAAAAGTCTTTCAGATTCTCTAACAATATTCTGAAGCTATTGCTGTGTCTTTGAAATGCATTGACTTTTCCAGCTGTATTAAGTAAACTCTTTTCATCATGCAAAAAACCCAAACTCCACAAATATAAAACACAGCAGTGTTTAGCTATACGTATACATCTCTGATCAAGCTGGGACAGTATTTCCCAGAAACTTACGCTCCTTTTTTGTTTCCTATATATGGTAGCAACCTAGATGGTCTTATTATTCAGCAACTGTCATGGTTTAAGCCCAGACAGTAACTCAGAACCACACAGCTGTGCGCCCACCCCTTCCCTTGCACCCCGGCTCCTGGCGAGGTGGGGAGAAGAATTGAAAGAATGTAAACCCCACGGATTGAGATAAGAACAGTCCAATAACTAAAGTGTAATATAAAACTATTACTACTACTACTAATAATAATGATAAGGGAAATAACAAGGGGAGAGGTTATAAAACTGAAGACGAAAAAACCAATAAACACAAGTGATGCACAGTGCAATTGCTCACCTTCCACTGACCAATGCCCAGCCTGATCGAGCAGTGATCTGGGCCTTCCGTGCAACTTCCCCCAGTTTCTATACTGGGCATAATGTGCTGTGGTATGGAATACCCCTTTGGTTAGTTTGGGTCAGGTGTCCTGTCTCTGCTTCCTCTTGGCTTCTTGTGCCCCTCACTGGCAGAGCATGAGAGACTAAAAAGTCCTTGATTGGGGCAAGCATTACTTAGCAACAGCTAAAACATCGGTGTGTTGTCAGCATTGTTCTCAGAGTAAAGCTGAAACACAGCACTGCACCAGCTGCTAGGAAGGAGAAAAATAACTGTTATATCTGAACCCAGGATAGAAACATTCAGGACAGCACAATATTTCTGTCTTATATAGGAACACTGGCTACCCACCTATGTGATCACAGTGTGTCCGACATTCAGGAGAATGTCGGGTTTTGTGCATTTTCAAATGTCCAAAATGTGATTTATTTTTTTTTTATTTTATTTTTTTTTAACTCTCCCTTCCTTGTTTTTTGTTTTTCTGCAACCACTGTAGTATATTGTTTCATGGCTGATAATTCTATCAACTACCCCAAGCCATGCTTTCAGTGGCAAAGCTCTTGTCTGGTTCCACCCAGTAAGTCAAGCTGAGTGATGCCTAGGAAGGCTATCATTTTAGTGTTATAGCTGCAGCTGCATTCCAAACTTCTTCCTTAATACTGTCCCCTCTTAGACACCCATGAGATCTGCTTCTAGCTAGACTATCTGAATTTGTTCTGGTTCTGTTTGGTGTTCATACTAGGCATAATCTCATTGCCCATACTGTCTGATTTCCTGGGCCTCAGTATTCTTTGTTCGAGCTTTCAAGTTCTCAGAGTCTTGTCACTACTCCAAATTCCTATTTACATGCTTGTTCTTTGTACCTGACACATAATTCAGTTCTTTTTATTATCTACCTGAAGTTTGAGTGTCATCCTGTTTCTTGCAGGCAATGCAATAAATACCTTTTTTTTTTTTTTTTTTTAAACAGATGTTAGAGATGTGAACTTTATGAACCTGCTTTTGCAGGCATAAAATTTTAACAACTTTATTAGTGCTTGTGCTTGCAGATTGTACACGCAAAAGAATAACTGACATTTGTAAATGAGAAGCTGTCCTGTTGCATAAACAAATATGTAGTATGTTTGAGTTAGTTATTATCTATTTATACAAGTACATGGAGTTACATAGGGGTTTAGGAAGTATTTGACAAATTGGTGTTTGCTGCTACTTTTATACTGGTATTGTAGAATAGACTTTTCAAGCAGCTGTTACTTGTGTATGGGTTTTTGACAGTTAAAAGTAATAGGTTTGAGTTTGGCTTGCTTTTGTTTTAATTTTTTTGTTTTATGGTAAGTTAAATTATCTTGCTTGAATTAGCTCATTTGAGGTAGCACTAAGAATTAGAAAAATAAAAATTACAAAGCCTATTTGGTAAGTATATTATATCTAGTAAATCAATACTATAAATTCATATTTTATCTGTAACATTTTATGTCTCTACAGGAGATCTGTATCGCAAAGCATAATGAAAAGATCCAGCAGCGTCACCAGAGTGAGGAAGAATACAAAATGCACCATACTGTTCAGCTAGTAAGTTTGAGTTTTCTGCTGTTGAGTTTAGCCTTTAGTTAATAGCTTGTGTTCCTCATTATACATTAATTAGGAGAGTATTCACAGTGATAGCTGTTTTAAAAAGATAATGTGTGTCCCTGACGTTTGCACCATGGATTTCTGTATCATAGTATGCTAGTAAGTGGGAGTATAATAGCGCTGTTAGGATGACATTGAACCCAAGCGAATAAAAAAGTTCTTTAATGGTAGGTTCATAGTCTAAGTGATGACTGCTAGGGTTAGGTTGCATGCAGTTTATCACATGCACATAGGTGATTCTGGACATCTCCAAGTACAGTGTCAGGTATGCTGAGTAAGAAAACCATACACATCGATTCTTGAGTCTTAATAAGCTTATTTATTACTTTCTTCTTTCTACAAAACAATTCACTTGAAGAGTATTGCATAAAGATGTAGTTGCAGCTGTATGCTACCCAGTTCTCTGCACCGTCTCATCGCTGAGAATAGGCTAGCTAGTCTTAACTCTCGTGCTGAACATAATAGATTTATCTTAAAGAATACTCAAATTCTGGCCTAGGTGTTGGGAGCTGATATAATATCAATATTTAAAAAAGATCACTGACAAAGATGCATTGAAATCCAAGTCTCCTTAATTCAGGCTTTGATTAGATTAGTGAAAGTGATTCTGTTTCATCCTTATACATTTTTAACATTGATACATTTATCCTGGAAGTCAGCTGCATAATTTATTGTATGAAAAGGCTACTTGTGAAAAGATCATAGGTATTGGCATACTCTTTTGGAAACTTAAGAATTTTTATTTATTTTTCTTTTCAGTACTTGGAGTACAGTAAAGAACTTTGCTGTGTAGATTGTTGTTCATTTATCACTTTTAAAAATAAGACTCGACAAAGCTAAAGATTTTATTGTCTTTCAAACATTTTTTTTTTCCTATTGACTTCATGGAATTGTCTGCTTGCATTATATGAAGAACCTTAAGCTGTATTTTTGGTCTTTTTGTCTGTTAATAATTTGACTGAAAGTTTCTACTGTTACTCTAAAATAGGTTTTCAGCCAGTTTCATGGTTTCATGAAGAATTTTGAATAGGTAACCTCAGGGGTGCCCAGACCTGAAACCAAATAAAAAATGCAATTTCTCTATTCTTATTTATAAACAAAACCAAACACAATCAAACAACAAGCAAAAAACCAAACCCCCAAAAGAAACAAACCAACCGACCCCCTTGAGTTTGAGACTGCTTCAGGAAAAGTTTGATCAGATTGTGTATGGAACATTGAAGTGTGGTGATAGAACTATCCTTTCTTCTTGGTACAATCTTTCTTTATGCTTCTGTTTTAACTTCTCTGCCCCATTGCTGTTATTTTCTTTTCACTATATGCTTCTATTTCTCTTCACCTTTTCATGTTTCCTATCCTTACTATTTTCAGACATGTTCTCCTCTTCCTGACCCTGATGTATCTATATTTACTTCCTTCCAAATAATAGGGTTGGCTCTTTATGAAGGATACCAGGCCACTAGCTTACTTCTGAAAGTGGCAGGCAGGCAGACATTGCTTTTGTGTTGACTTAATGACAATACAAGCTTACGAAAGTGATCAGATTTTTTAATTATGATGATGAAGATGAGCTTTTAAAAGTATTACTGAATGTTGTGAGTAATTTAAGAATTAAAGCTGCTGTTTCTGCTTAAAGTTTATTCTGTAGACTCACCTGCTCTATCACTTTTCCTGGTAACTTCTGAACTTACATAGAGTGACTTTTGCCATTTGACAACAAGCACTGACTTTCAGTAAATGTGACTGAACAGTAGTATTATGTTTCAAAGATGTAGAAACTTTGCTGAAGTTTTGTGAAAATGCATGACTTGTTAAAGGAGGTAGACCCAAATGTGTGTTTTCACTGAGGTAAGTTCCCTCAAGAAGAAATAATTGTGTTAGGAAGAAAAAATTGCAAGGAAGAGCTTCAACCATTTATTGGAGTAAGATTACAGAAAAATGAAGCTGGATTAAATAATGACAGCTTAAGTAAATTCTAATGAAAATATTACCTTATTTCCTCAGGATTGGGTTCAAAACTTTGTGGCAGTGAGTTCTGTGACTTCTTGCACTGTGAAAATTCTAATATGATATTCTAACATAAAAGGGCAACCTTGCACTTTGGGCTGTCATTTTGTTCTTGGAATGAGAGAAAATGGGTACTGGTTTGTTGTCTGGCTAATTTATGCCATTTTTAATCTAAGTGGTCTTTTTTCAGTATAATATTCTGTCACATCTCTAGTTGTTTCTCATCTGCAAGGTAACAAATCTTCAAGTACTCCAATTCCAGTTGGAAATTTTTCTTTACAGAGCTTTTCATGTCTTTGAAATTGTAAAACATGAAACGCGTAATATTTTGTAAGGGGAAGACACAAAGACCAAGGTTTTGAAGTTCAGAAAATGTGTTTATTTAAGAAGTAGATTGATAGGTAATTCTTAACAATTAGTAGAAGTGTTCTTTTAATTCATTTTTTTAGTGATGCTAAACATAGCATTGGATGTAATATTTACATGCTTTCCATGTATTTCCTTAGAAGCGAGATCAATTACAAGAAGAAGAGGAAAGAAAGAGCTCCTGGGTTAGTCAGGAACGACAGAAAACACTGGACAGACTTCGCACGTTTAAACAGGTAATAGAAGAGTTATTCTTTTACACCAGTTCCTTTTGCAGAAGTAATTTTCACTTATTCCACTCATTCACTAAACTATGCAATTAGCTATTCTTTTTCATTGTGCGGTTAACTGTTCTTTAGAAAACTTACAAGAAAATATGGCATTGGTGGTAACGAGTATCTACGCCTTGCAACAAGACACTTAGCAAACTTTCCTAAAAGAAGTATAATCTAAAGGTATTTCCCACTACCACTGATTGCTAGAATACCTGCCAATACTTGGTCCTTCCTACTGCAACAGAAGTATCAGAAAATGGGTAGAAGGTAGAATGAAGGGGAATGAATAATGAAAGGGATTAAAGTGCAATAAAATAGAGATTGTATTAATTGATGAAGACTTTTTTTGGTTTTGCTGAATACATTAGAAAAATATAGGTAGGAGAAGTTTTTATACTTAGCAGTACTTTGCTCAGCAGTATGATCTTTGTATCCTTATTGTTTGCAAGGCTTTTGAATTGCATAGCTTCTGTAAATTAGAGCAGTTGTTAATGAGTGGACTTTATATATAAGCGTATTTATATTGTTACGATCTCTATTGCTATAGGCCTACCACAATTGTTTGTGAAAGGTATTAGAACTGTCTTTCAGAAGCAGCTTAGAAGGAGCTATGGATGAAACTAATATGAAAAGACAGATATTGAGGCAGCAATTTAGTTCTTAAAATACTTCGTAAAGTCTCCAAATGTTTCATGTTTTCAAGAGATAAATTTTTAGGCAGTATGCTTCACATCTAAGGCCAGTGTATAGGGTCAGAGAGGACTTCGTTGCAGAGGGAGCCATTGGCCAGTTTTAGAAGAGGAAAGCAATAGGGATTTTAATTTTAGTTTTCAGAAAAAATAGTTCTGAGTGTACATCCTGGTTCTTAGTGAAATCCTGATTCTAACCCATGTATATCCCACACCAGTCATGTAAATTGTGGCTTAACCAAGAATAAAAATTAAGAAAACGGATCATTTTTGCATAAAGGTGAGGATATATTTGTTTCGGTTTTACATTAAGAGCAAAATGCATGAAAATAGCAGATGACTTCTACTTGTCAGAAAGGCAAACTCCAACAACTTAGAATCTAGAACAGTACTTGCATATTAGTCACATACTTCTCTAACTGTCAATAACTTATCCACTTTAGCGGTACCCTGGGCAAGTAATACTTAAATCAACCAGACTACGGCTAGCTCATGCAAGAAGAAAATGTGCAGCCAGCTCAGTGTCCTGTGTTGATCAGCCTCAATCTTTGCCAGCAACCATACAAATCAAAGAGAAAAGTGAAGAGGTGGAATCAGAAAATGCAGTTCAGCCTTTGCAAGCGCAAGAATTCACAAGCTTAGAACAACTTCAAGATACCTCGTTACCTCCTGATGGTCTTAACTCTGAACTGCCTCCTGTTAGTATTTCTTCACTCACCAGTAATGAGCTTGAACCAGAGATTATTACTGTGGTACCACTTCCACCCCCTTTGCCTCCTCCACCACCTCCACCTCCACCTTTGCCCTCCAAGGAAGATGCTGCTGCAAAACCCTTGGAGAAAAGTGACAGCTTTGTTAAACGTCAGAGTGAGGAGAAGGGAGTCCAGCACTCTTCTGGTGTCCCACCAGCATATCTGTTTGACAGCAGTCAGCTAGTCAGTGCCAAGAAGAAGCTTAAGAAGACTGGTGATCTAGAGGGTTTACAGAGGAGGAGAGGTAATGTTATATTTCTGTGTATTTACTTGTAATGAACATTAGTTCTTTCTTCTGAACTTCTCTGTAGAAAATTGTATGCAGTGATTTACTGATAGTTATTAATGGGAAAGTCATTAGATCCTTTTCAGCTGACAGATGTTGGCAACTCAAACGAAAGATAGGACTTCTAGGACAGGGTGCTGTATACTTGTTTATTTAGACAGAACACACTTGGGAAACTGACTTTACAATATACCATGTTAGACTAGCTAGAACATGGACTTAAACATTGTCTAAAAGAATCCTTTCCTATATAGCTTACAGCCAGCTCTTACAAATACTGTATGCTTCACCTGAGGTGGCAGTGTTTTTTAGTAAGAGAATTTTATGTAGTTCATGACCTAGTAAATGAATACTTATCTTGGGACACAGGAAACCTTGAGAATGGTTTCTTCAAAGTTTTCTTCAAAATTTCCTATAAAAATCTACAAACTCCCAAGTACCCTTGAGGACTGAGTAACAATATATTCTTTTAACTACAATTGGAAATTTAAGTCTATGATCATTCAGCAAAGCATAATAGTAGTTAAAAGATCAGAAGCTTCTTTGGAAACTGAAGAGAATGAACAGAGCACAGGGCTGAGCTGGGAGATCTGTTAACAACTTGTTGATTCTGTGCTACTTGTTTTTAACTGTTTATCCTTTACCCCATATTTAAATGGGGAGAATGGCAGCCATGTTTGAACAAAATAATCCAGGTGTTGTGGTGAAATGTGCTATATTGGAGCAGAGTTTTTAGTTGCAAATCAGAGATGGGATTTTCAGAAGTGCTCAGCCAAACTACTTTACTGGAAGTCACTGAGAAAAAGTACTTTGAGTGAGCCTTGATTCACACTGCAATAATATGGCTGTGATAACATTTTATTAAAAATTCTACATGGCTCTATCAATTACGTCTACAGAAAACATTCCTTCACTGACATTTTCCCTCATCCAGATAAAACCAAAATTAGAATTGTCTTCATTCAGGCAGAAACAGTGTTTTCCCTAGAATTTCCCTAGAATTGTCCTTAAATGACTGAAAACCCTTGAAGGAACTGCATAGTTACAGAATTCTTAAGCTCTTAGGAATTTTGCGGGTCATAGGTAGTGTCTTGAGTTCATTATCGATTTTGATGCTTGTGTGCTCCTTTTTTCTGTAATCCTGTTGTTTATTTTTCTGATATCCATTTTATCTTGCAATTTTATATAAAGCATGTATTATGTCTGCAATTTGATATACGTCATAAAATGACAAATATAAAATCGAATTATATCCTCTCAAGGGTATTGTTAATGTCTGCAGCAGCACTCTACCTGCTGCTCTGTGTTCCCCAAGATGTTCCAAGTCTGTAAGTAGTTTCAGAAATATGTCTCTATATAACAGGTGATTGTTCTACAATCCTTCCTTCTTCCTTCAAATGTGCAATCCTGTATTATTTTATTTCTCTTTTCCTTGTGTCTATTCCAACTGTCTTGGCCATTAGTCTGATGGACAAAGCTCACTCATAAATGCAAAATAGGTTTAAAAAAAGTATTCTAAGATACACAAAAAAGAACCGGAGATGGATATTTATTTACTGATCAACATATGCTGCACATTGCATGTGCTAGTGTATGCGAGCCATTTCAAACTGCTGGTACTTCACTGTAAAGCATTTTCTGGGGTACAGACCTTACCTGCTTGTAGCTTTTCAAAGAGCCAAAGCTCTTTCAAAGATTTTTATTTCTGCAAAGAACTGTTTTCAAGTTGGTGATAAAGGAAAGACTTGGGATAAAGTATTAACTCTGTTTTCATTAATTATAAAGGAAGGCATGTAGGCATAATACATAGGCATGCTGTGCCTATGTGCTAATGCATGCATGACTCCAGAGGGGCAGGAAATGCATGCTGTTAGAGTTGACTGTACTGCTGCTTCCCTCACTGGCATGTAGTAATAGTCATACAGTAGATAAAATCCACCACAAAATGCAAGTACTGAGAATGTATTGCACAGTCCGATACTTAGGGTGTGTACTCATTACCTGTTTCAAAGTGAAGAAGGGTAATCTGATAAACATTTTGACTGTGTTGGACTCACTGCAGCTGGTTTGATTTTTTGACTGCAAACAGGAAAGCCATCTTTCTCAAAAGGTTTTGCTACCTGCCTCATAGGAAGTTAAGTGGTTTCAGAAATTGTAATTGCCTGTGTAAACCAGTTTTGACCTTGTAATAGGGAAGATAAACTTGGAGGCTAAAGCAGTATCAGAGCTACCATTATATAGACAGTATGGGACTACCACGTTAGTAGTATATGACTACTTTTTGGTCTGAAGGAAATAGATGAAGACTGATAAAATTTAATAAAAATAATACTGAAGGTCTTTTGATTTACTGCAGTGAGTTCCCCAATGGATGAAGTGCTGGCTTCCTTGAAACGTGGCAGCTTTCACTTAAGAAAAGTTGAGCAAAGAAGTCTCCCTCCTTTTCCTGATGAAGATGATAGCAATAACATCTTGGCACAGATCAGGAAAGGGGTGAAACTGAAGAAAGTGCAGAAAGATGTTCTGAGAGAGTCTTTTACAATCCTGCCTGACACCGACCCACTGACACGGAGCATCCATGAAGCATTGCGACGGATTAAGGAAGCATCACCTGAATCAGAGGATGAAGAGGAGAGTTTGCCTTGCACAGACTGGGAAAATTAACCTGTAAATAACCTACTTTTTAAAAAAATACTTCTTCAACACGTTTTGTATAACAATAGAAGCTAAGCCTCAGGTTCTTCATTGTAGGAGACTGAGTATGAATGTTACTAAACTGTCTGACATCAAATGTGGTGAAATATGCACATATGAATTCAGTGTCACTGACTTTTCAAAGAATTACAGGTTTGTAGGAAGAAAAACTTTTTTTAGGCAACATCTTACCCTTTTTCTTGTTTGAATACTTTTGCTGAATATTGACATGACTAGTCCTAGGAAAAGCTCTATTTTATTTAGTAAATTTAAAGGAACTGTTTGCAGCTTATCAAAAAGCTTTTAAGTAACAAAGCAGCACAGTCACTCTTGGACACACCTTGTGCCTATCTTCTAATTACTTCTGACCTTGTAAAAAATTAGCATTCTTATCTCTTCAGACTGAATACCTTCTAGTGAAGGATAGTTAGATTTGACTGTTGAACACATTGGGATCTCTTTGGTCACCCTCTGCCACTGACTCTTTGATAGCTTGGTTTCAAACTGTAAACTGTCAGACTTACTTGAATTTCCAGACTATAAACAGTAAATATAAAAAGAATTATTTATACTTCTGCTGCTCATACAAATGTGAACTTGCATTATACTAAGCTACAGTGCTTGAAACTACAGGTACTAGGCTTCAGTGGATGAAATTAATTATTTCAGAACAAACCAGAAATTAGCAGGAGATTATCTTCAAAATCATGGCTTCATCAGTAGCACAAACAGATTCTTAATTACAACAACAGCATACACTGCTATTGTTCCTCAATGGTTCTTTTCTGCTACTGGCATGTGGATGAACTTAAGTCTTAATGAAAGTTCCCACTAAACTTAAAATTTGGAGAAAAGAGAGATATGAAAATCAGCAAAGAATTTTAAAATCTTTTTAGAAATCCAAGGCTATTTCAAGAGTATTCAAGACAAATATTTATAATCATTGCAACACAGCTAGCAGTAGGAAGAAGATAACCTTTTTGGATGTTCTACCCTGGTTAGTTATTAGCATAGGTGGAGAGTGAATATTGATAAAGTGCTGCAGCTGTTTAAAAAGTGAAAGTGACTTAGCACATCCTCTGCTGAATGTCATTGTGATTATGAAATACCATGTCTCAAATTGATTGGTATGCTATTTTCAAATAATACTATTTAAAATTTTTTAAAAGGAGAATCAATGTTGCCTTTATTTCCTCATGAACTAGCCATTGGCCACACTAATGATTTACTAATGACTAATTACAGCATGCCAATTCTTTTCCATACCAAATGTACTGCTACTTTTGGAGTTGAAAATCCAGGAACAGAGGTACACTTAACTCTTGCTAAAACTCAAAGTAAAAATAGTTTTGATTGGGTGTCACCTTTTTCTTCACTTGCATACTGTGAACTCCCACTACCTTCAGAAATGAAGTGACAGCTATAAAAGAAGACATGCCTTGGAACTGATTTGGCTTTCTCAGTGCAATTATTCTCTATTCATTTACTAGATAACTGAACACATTTAAACTTTGTGATTTGACTTAATGATTTTGTTACATCTAAGTTATTCTTTGGATCTTGTTGCATTGTTTAGCAAGAATATTCTTCAATACCATAGGTCTCTTAAAAAAAAAAATAATTTTTCCGAGAGTGACTTTGAATGTTTTTAATCTAATTAATGGGATGGGCCTCCCTAACATTTACCAGTAGAAGTGTATCCTTTTAGAAGTCTTATGTGTACATCGTCATACAATATAAATAGATGTTTTCCTCTGCTATCCTTTGCAGCCCCATAGAAGCAGTTCACAGTGCACATTGAAAATCACTGCTGTGTAGTACCTGCAGTGCAGTGGTTGTTGCTTCCAGTTTACCAGTCTACAGTTAGGGCACTACCTTTTTGAGGAAGTGCTCCTGTCAAATGCTGAGGTCCCATGAAATTACTTGGACCTAAAGCAGGATGCAGTGACAGAGTTGTGAGTGCATGCCCCTTGGAGTTCTTACATCTGGGACCTGCTTTCTCTTTAACAATGTCATATTTTATTATGGAAACAATCCTGTTTTCATGAGATGAGACTATTTTGCAGATAGTACGGATTTTGATTGAAAAATGGTTATACGAAATAGCTAACACTCAGGAAGGGAAAATAGCCCCCTGCTGTGGAAGCAAGTGAAATAATCTGGGAGAACTGAGATTGAGACAAAGCCCTCATGAAATTCAGATGAATAAATACGTTTCACATAGATGAACGTGCTTGCTTGAACATGCAGACTGGTTACCCAGAATTTATTATTCGAGAGTAAAATCTAATGAAAGTGTGCTGTAGAAGCTGCAGAAGAGTATTTTTTCTATAAGATTATCAATTTAATACCAAGCTTTAAGATTGACTTACTGTTTTTTAACTGTAAGCTCTGCATATACAAAAATCTGTTGCATAGAGATTGTAGGTTGAAAACAGTTATACGAAAGTGTGTTGGTATATTGCAAACTATAGTTAATACATGTACATGCTTATAGGCTAAATGTAATGCAATTATTTGCCTTTGGAATGAAGGCTAAATCTGATCTAATGTTTATCAAGTGCCAAGAAGTCTCTCGATGTATGTGCAGGGAGTATAAACAGTGCCCACTGAAGCAGTTTTGTTAATTATTTAACTTTGAAGACAAACTAATAGTAACTGATTCCTGCAGGAGATGTAATCATCTCTTGTATTATATTTATGAGTTAACTTCTACATAGCATTACGACTGATTTTTTTGAAGACCGGTTCCTTCTTTATGGGCACTCTAAACCATGCACAAAAATGTTGAGGCATTCTGGGTATTGGAAGTACAGCTGAACAAGCAGTATAAAGATGCAGTAGCTTCTGTATGAAAAATTGGAAGATCAGTGTATCAGAAGATACCAAAAAGTATCCCAAGGCTATCCATGTGTGCATACATAATGGTACACATAAATCACTATAGTACATTAAAAAGTACTGTAAGTAATGTGAAACCTGGGCTTGTGGGAGTGACAAAGTAATGGAGAAGCAGTGAGTTTTCTGTTCTCCACAGTCTTCTAATCCACTATTTTGGGCCTCTTAAAGCTCTTATCTGCGTTCAGTGCCAATAATACAGAGGCAAAAAAAAAACCCTAGTCATACTCTGTGTGTTCTGGCTCCAGAGTTGAGTGTGTAATTACCCTGGGAGCAAAGAGAGTCAAGGCTTTTGAAGACGCTACTCAGTATTGCATGTTGGAATTGCATAATATGTTGATCAGACAGTATTTGTACAGCTATTTAGCTTTTCAGATGTTCCTTTCTCTTTTTTCCCTGAACAGGTGATTCACAGCTACTGACCTGAGGGGAGAAACCCCTGTTGAAGATTACTTTTCCTCATCATTTTTGAAAATTCAGAGCCAGCAGTTATGACCATCAATTCCATAGGAGGCTTTCTTTGGCAAAGAAGTAGTCTTTCTTTGGCAAACAATTAAGTATATGGAAGAAGTAGCCTGAAAAGTTAATTTTTGAGTCACTACTTTTTGTTTGGTTGGTTCGTTGGTTGTGGGATGTTTTTTTTTTTTGGGGGGGGTGGGG